TCTTTATAGGAGTTAAGTGTGGAGAGTTTTCCGCATGGCAAGTGGTCTGAATAGCCACGGGGGGTAGAGCGATTACACCAGAGGTTTCCACGCGTGCAAAAGCCTAAATATCGCGTTGGAAACAGGCATCGCATTTCAGCAGCGTCGGTATTTTCATTCGATCCCGTCAAATCGTATCCCATTAATAATATTTTTACTGCACAAATGTAGAGTACACCGTGGCTCACTGCTGCTCAGTGGGGCCGTGGCACAAGTTGCTGTCATTACCATCGTTTTCCAGTGAGAGATGGATGCGCTGCGCTGCCATAAAGAAATTAAAAATCCCTTCACTGTTGCCCACGTCTCTGTGACTCTGCTGCAGTGAAGCTCTCGCGTGTGTTTTCGGTTTGCACCGCGTGTTCTGTTCGGCGTGATGACCAACGTTGAAATCCATGTTGCTGGGAGCTTCTTCAATTCCCGAAGAGAGCTAAACAATATCTCTTATTTACCCCTCCCCACCCCCACAAAACATTAATCAACTAGTCTAAAGTCTATTTTTCAGGATGGTCCTACATTGAGATCATTGTACACGAGTAAAAGACTTGAAGAGCAACCAGAGCATTGTCTGATCATGTGACGGAACCCACATTTAAAAAAAAAGTATTTTGCCAATTCCCTCCACTACATCCAACAGCTCGTAACATAGAAATCGCTCAGGCTGTCTAACTCAACGTGCATTTCGATAACGTGAGACACAGCGGCCCCTGTCGTGGTGGAGCTGACCAGGGGGGGGTAGGGTGAGGGGTTACCACGTGGGAGTCAGAGTGGGAGGAGGAGGTTGCAATCGCCCCAACTCCTCTTATTCAAACAAACAAGAGCCGAGTGAGATAAAGCCTTTGAGCTCTGCCTAATGCCGAGTTGACCAAACCTCTGTGTCAGGGTGGCTGGAGCACATCCTTCACGTCAGTTATTCCTTTTTAAAAAACGTTCCTACTCCCACACCGAATTTAGGATAATTGCCCTTCAATTACTCAAATTGAAGCAACAATGTATTTTGGGGAGTTGTGGCGCAGTTGTTTATGAGCTGCGCTATGAACCTGGGTGAGCCAAGTTTCATTCCCATCCATCAGCGGCAAGTTGTGTTTGAGATACAGCTGCAGGATAGGAGCTCTACGCATCCCAATTGCAACGTACTGTCATTGTGTCCGACAATGTAATCACAGCTAGCTAAGATGGTATTTGGGGACACATTTGCCCCTCCTGTTAATGATGGAGGTCCATAATCAACGTTTTGGGGTTAGATCGCGTTATTTATAAATGTGTCGTAACCCTCCACCACCCGACACGGCCAATCAGCAAAAAAGTGTCACGTTGACAAAAGACAAAAAGTTCACTACTTTAGCCCACCGGTGTGTTGAAGCGTGAAACCACAACATTTACAAATGTAGTGACCCATTTGTCTTTTGTCAACGTGACACGTTTTTGCTGATTGGCCGTGTCGGGTGGTGGAGGGTTACGACACATTTATAAATAACGCGATCTAACCCAAAAACGTTGATTATGAATAATATTGGTCGCGAAAGCCGACGTGTTAAAATGATGGAAGTGTCCAAAGCAGAGGCGCAGTTGTTACCACACCGCGCCATGAGCCTGGGTGCCTGAGTTTTATTCCCAGCCAGTGGCTAAACATCAGTGGTGGGTGAGTGATACCTGAACCGGTCCTAGGTCTCCCACCAATTTCACCAACTCACCTTACCAGCGTGGTGACGTATGGTAAAAAGCAATCCCCATGGCGTGGGGTGACTCTCGGCCATTAGTGGACTAACAAACTACTGATAACTATTGTGAAATTAGTGATGGAGACATTTGGAGCATTTTTGCCATTCTATCTCCCGAACATGAATAGGATGCAAAAAAAATCACTCTCGTGAGTTGTTGAGATCTTGTTGCTGTGGTTGTAACCAGCAAAGTAGAATTTAGAGATTTAATCGATTACTCTACCGACGATCAGTGCAGTCACTCGATGAATCGCATAATGCTAAACTACTTTGGGGAGGGAGGGGGGGAAGAGAGCCTCAACGTGTTCCCACGTGTGGTTCGGTGATGTTATTAACATCATCAGCCGTGTGACATTGAGCATTGCTGGAAGGGGGCGGGGGGGGGGGGTCCTGCCTTCAGCAGGTAAAATGTTGGGGGGGGGGGGGACACCATTTTTAAAGGGGCCAGGGTATTCGACCACAGCAAAAAAGTCATTCATAGTTGTTTAGCCGATTATAAACTCAATCGACGAATTGTCTCAGCTTGAGTAAAACGTACATTATTCATCCCGTCTGACCAGATGCCACAGTCGCCGAGGGCCTCGCGAAGGGGTTAGAGACACAACACTATCCATGACGCTGAACGCGAACTCGCTCTAATGCAAGGCCAGCGTGAAACGAAAAACATTTCAAAATTACCGTTTAAATTGGCCTCGAAAAAAACACCCAACAGGACTTAATTGTGGCTTTTAAGCAACGTGAGTAATGACTGAATTAACTTTTATTGCCCGCGAGAATGTAAACATTGCGTCTGGACCGTACGAATATATTTCGTTTGTTTGATTGAAAGAAAAATAGAACCCGGTTATACATTCCCATCAAATAAAGCGGTTATTGTCGGCGCAATTAAGCGTACGGGGCAATGCGGCGACTCAGAGAGACAGAGATCTCCACGGCATTTTCGTTTTTTTTGTATCCTGGGTAATCGTAAACCGCTCCACGGCCCCCGCGCAGCGATGAAATATACTGAGGGCGAAGGCGATTTACAGATGTGGCTGTGCATTCATCATTGTCTCCGGCATCACATGGATTTTAACTGACGTTTTAAGTGTGTGTTTTCTCTTCGGCTCTGCTGGCCGAATGGTGCAGTCGTGGTCAGAGAGGTTTGTGGGGGGTGGGTGTAGGGATGGCGGGGGTGGGTGATGGTCTGAGGATGTGAGCTATTATGTATAATTTATTGATAGAGTTTTAATTTCAGCAGAAGCCTCTGCAGCCGCGCGTAATCACGACATGAAACGGGACACCGACAACTGCTTGCCCCCCCCCCCCCAAAAAAAAAACTGCGACACGGGCCGACACGCTTAATGACACGCGGGGTAACTGCGGTTCCCCAACCTCTCTTTTGTTTCGCTCCCTTCCCGCGGCCGCTATTCCGCGGGTACTTGCTGAACAACGCTTCGCGAACAGGAAAACAAAGTAATCGGTGACGTTTCAGGCAATTAACCTGTTTTGTTCCATTAGCGGTGAGATACAAAAATAAGGGCCATTGCTCAAATGCGTCGCCTGTTTGTAAATTTGAGAGGTTTTCTTCTTAATGTCCGAGTCACAATGTTATTGACGAATCCGTCAGGAGGTTGTTTTTTTTTTGCGATCGTGCACCAATGCCCAATATGTGTCAAACAATAAAATAAAATAAATTCTTCACAGGAAATGTACTGTAGCTGTGTTACTTTGTTAATACGAGGTTTTAAAATAAATACGTAAAAATCACCAGGTTAAAGAAAGGCCACCTGCACACGCACCACTTACGCGCGGGGTTTGCACTGCGCGTAAATATTCCACGCGTCGAATGTTGGGTGCGCAAAAAAAACGAACAGGCCAGGAATCTTTTGGGTTGGAAACGTCTGGGTGTGTAAATTACACATTATATATACACACACATAGCGCTCACTGTATGAAATACATTTTGGAAAAGTGTATCAATTTCAGTAGATAAATATACACACGTAGACATGAATCTACACCTACAGAGAGAATTGATTTCGTTTTATACTCTTGGAGGGAAATGGTTTTAAAGTTATTTTTTTTTACAAAAAAATATGTTGAGCATTAGATTCGCTTGTGAATTTCAAGTTTAGTGCCAAACCTTCCAATGGTTCTCTATCTCTCTCCGGCCGTTGATTATAAAATAGCCTCACCACAAGCAAAACCCTTCACACAACTGCCGACAATCACACTCTTGGAATATAATTTTAATCGCTTGAAAGTAGTCGGACTCATGAAATAAATAAAATAAGGGCCGAGTTGGCAGCTGTGCGAAACGACAGATCCATACATATTCCAGGAGACTTGTAATCGGCACTGGCCTTGTATTAGAACAAAAAATATAGGAATTATGAATGTCACATCTATCAGGGGAAAGCATCAATGAGTCTCAGGAGACCTTTTTTTTTAAGTCCTGCCTTGGGACGTTATGGTCAAGGTGTACTTAAGGAATGAGTGTTTCTGCGCGTTGGAGGAAACCGGGATGACAACAATTCACCTCTCTCCGGAGTCGACCGAACTTGGGACAGCGATTACGATGAATACATACAGAACTGGACGTGATTTTTTTCGTAGTGGTTTAATATAGCGGCCTCTAGTGGCTGGTGACTGTCACTTGAACGCATTACAAACAACGAAAAAACGCACTCATAAAAAAATATCGATTATTACGCGAACGATTCAATGATTATTTCGATTTTTTTAAAACAGAAACCCATCGATTAATCGATGACGCACGATCGTCACGCAGACAAGACAAAGACCCTGATGGCGCGGGCGATGTTAGCGAGCAGCTATGAAGGCCGCCACGGGGGAGATGGGTGGCCAGCACCACACCCGACCACCTTTATCTCCCTCGTTCAGATGTTTATACACCGCTCCATTTAACGTTGAGTCAATCTACAAAGATCCCCCGTGTAGCCTTTAACAGACTGTTGGGGCAAACGCTGTTCGCGATCACCTACGAAGGCCGGCACGGCACACGAGGGGGTGGGTGGGTGGCCAACACCACGCCCGGCCGCCTTTATCTCTCCAATGGTGTTGTATATTTTTTTACACACTGCCCCAGGTATTAATTTAAGGTTGAGTCAACCTAGGGGTAGGAGGCCCATGACCGGTTCAGACAATCGTCACTGCTGTTTGGCCTTGAGCAGCGTAGCGCAAACCGCTGATGCAGAGCGAGCCGTGGCGAGGAAGGTCGTGGGCTCGGCCGTCCGTTACCTCCCAAAGGTGGCGAGTGTTGCGGACCGCTCCCGCACGCAGCCTCTCCACGGGCACTCGCGCTCCGTCGTAGGGACCCAGCCAGGTGCCCGCGGGCAGCCGCTGAGCAGCGCAGAGGCCGAGGCCGGCGCCGGGCAGGCCGCTGCTGCACAGGCAGAGCTCGCGGGGCAGCGAGGCGCGCACGGACGCCGGCGGCTCGGGGCGCAGGGACGACGCGGCCGATGCCGGCGGTGCGCTCGTGCCGACCAAGCGGCGGAGCGAGTGGAGGGGGCCGTGCATGGGGCACTCGCCGCTGCGGTTGTCGGCGCACATGTCGCAACCTGTGCGCGGTGGGGCAAAGGTGAGGGTGTGCATTAAGAGGAGTGGGGACGATGGCGAGCAGTCGGGGGGGGGGGGGTAGGGGAGCGGTAGTGTAGTGGTTAGCGCGCTGCGCGACAAACTCGAGTTCGATTCCCGCTCACGGACAACAAGCACCAGTGGCTATTATCCTGAGCTGGTCCCTGGGTCTCCTCCCCCCTAGGTCGACCTGGGAAACATCGTCACTTAGGAAGATAAAGGCGGCCGGGCGTGGTGCTTGCCGCCCCACCCCCTCGTGTGCCGTTCCGGCCTTCACAGGTGCTGCTCGCTAACATCGCTTGCCCCCTACAGCCTGTCTGAGGCTATACGGGGGGGGGGGCGGTCTGTGACATTGGTGAGAGGAGTGATGAGCGAACAGTGGTCATCATTTCCATCCCCCAACTTGCGCTGCTGTACCGCCATCGTCACCATCATCACCATCTCTACAGTAACCATCACAGCCGCCACCACCATCACCATCATCATCCCCGACTGCCCTGGGGCGGTGACACGGCAAGAGTTTGCAAGAGGATTCGTGGTTCGAATCTCTAGGCCTCCCTGGTCATAACTGCGAGTGCTAATTACCATCACGATATCCGCCGTCTGCTTCACAGTGGACCTGTGCAGGACTGAGCTCCGGAAAATGTTTCGCCGCTGCGAGGCTACGCTGTGCTGTACTGTACTTCTATGCTTCCACGTATGTGTGTGTCCCCCCCCCCCCCCCCCAGCCTTCACCTCGTTGTGGTGAATAAATAAATACCCCAGTCCACACGGCCTGGGGAGACGTTCATCCAGCAGTGGATTGACAAAGGGCTGCAACGTTTACAATCTAAACGCGGTCTACCCGAGGGAGCAGGTCAACTGCTACTCGCCGCCACCGGCGTTAGCCGCAGATGCGAATAGACCTCAGGTCACCGTGTTCATAGCGCAGCGCGCTAACTGCTGCGCCACCGCTCAATTTGATCTCAAACGTAAGTCTGCCTTTAACATATTTTGTTGTTGTTAATAGGCTTATCGCTTTTACTTGTAAGGGATTTTAAATCGGACATAATGTAACGCTTTACCGCGTGCTACGAGGAAGGACCGTTCCCCAAAACGTCGCCAGTTACATGTTGAGGCCAGGCGGCAGAGGTCGCAACCGGGTACCCGATACCCGTACCCTACCCGATACCCGGCTACCCGTACCCAGCCGGGTACGGTCACGGGTAGCCGTTTGCGACCCTGGTGCGGCCGGGTACGGGTAGGTTGTGAGTCACTGGTGAGTAACTGTCACTCATTTCGGGTAGGGTACGGGTAGGGAACGGGTACCCATTTGCAACCCTGGTGCGGCCGGGTACGGGTAAGGAACCAAAACCCGTTTGCGACCTCTGCCAGGCGGGTTGTCGACGAGCGTGCGTCGAGATTGTTTCCTTGTTGCACATTGCTCATTCGAGAATCACGTTTGTTAACGCGCACGACGTGAACTTTAAAAGGGCATTCGGAGAGGGCCGCCTCTGGCCTCCACCCACGTGTCACGCTGTCCGCCTCGGTGCCCCGACAGCCGCGTGTTTACATTTCGCGCTGCCAGCCCCAGCGCAAAGACATTCCCCGTCTCCCTGCCATGCATTGCACGCACACACGCGCACGCACGCACACGCACGCGCACACACACACGCGCGCACGCACGCACGCACACGCACGCACACACACGCACACACGCACGCACACACACGCGCACGCACACACGCACACGCGCGCACACGCACACACGCACACACACACACGCGCACACACACGCACACACGCACACACACGCACGCACACACACGCGCACACACACGCGCACGCACACACGCACACACACACACGCGCGCACACGCACACACGCACACACACGCACACACGCACACACACGCACACACGCACGCGTACACGCACACACGCACACACACGCACGCACACACACACACACGCACGCACACACGCACACACACGCACACACACGCGCACACACACACGCACACACGCACACACACGCGCACACGCACACGCACGCTTGAGCATTTTACTTGCAGGCTTATCTCTATGTCCGAGCGTCCTATATTTAGCCACACGACGGCCCATTGAGACAAATTGCCTCTTTGGTGTGTGAGACCTGTGCAATAATTCTGGTTTAGGCAAAAGGACAGCTATTTTACTTTTGTTTTAGGATCTACAGTACTGTATATATATGTATGTGTGTTTGCTATGACTTTCCGGGTACATTTAAATTGTAAAAAAAATGTTCCCTGTGACACTGACCAGGGAACCTCGACCCTAAACGCATCCACTCCTCTCCCTCTTCCTCTTGCGAGCGGCCAAGGTTGTTATAAACGACTTAGCGAACATAAGGCGCTGTAACACCATGACAGTTGTTCCAAATCCGTGTCGGTCATTGGGGTTGATTGACCGTACTTCACCAAGCCGGTCATCAGTGTAGCTTGTTTGACTGGTCGACTTAACACTCGCCACTGATGTTAGCCGATGATGGTTTATGCTCCTTTTCGCCAAAGAGCAGCGGCTTTTGGCTAACCATCAAACAAAGACGCTCGCCGCATCGCGCGCTTTCGGATGCGCTTCTGCGGCCGTCTGGAACGCTCTTCCTTCTGATATTCGGAAGCGGCTGGAGCTATGCGCTTTTAAATCGTCGAGATTGAAAACTCATTTCTTTAGAACTGCTTTTTGCACGGTTGGCTACGTGGGGCGCGAAAGAAGTTCAACATACATACTGCGGCCCCGAATTCAACTTGTGATTTCCTCTTCATAGCACATTGCGGCAAACCGATGCTCCATAGTTCTATAGACTACACACTGGCAAATGTACGTCATACAAAACAAAGACACCCTAAAACCATATAGACCCTTGGGGGCGAGTGACTGAGCGATCGCCTATGAAAGCCGGCACTGCGCACGAGACGGTGACGTTCACCACGCCCGGCCGCCTTTGTCTCCCCAGCGGTGATGTTTTACCCACAGTGCCGGATGCTTATTTAAGGAGGCCCGGGACAGGTTCAGATATCTGCCACTGTCATTGTTCGTACGGGGGATTCCACCTCGGGCCACCGGTGTTGGTCGCGCACTGCGGCGATCACCGCCGCATTACCACTGCACGCGCGTACTGTGTGGTAAGGGGCCATCCATCGAGTAGGAACGCAAAAATATGTCAAAACTTGACCCCTACCCCCCTCCCTGAACGCACGCGGACTTTTTACCCCCCCCACCTGCGTACGTACGCTTGACACGCACCCCCCCCCTCCCCACCGAATCCTATAGAACGGCCGATATTTAATCCACGCAGAAACGATCAAGGATGAATCATACTCACGTGTTTCAGCAAACAGACTGCGTTAAAGAATCAAGTCGCTTACCTTGGCCACTTATGTTGCTGAGCTGCGTGCTAGCTGCAGTCAGGGGGGCACGGTGGCACACAAGTGACACCTCTCCCACAGTCCCACTTCTCCCGGTAGTATTTGTTGTTTGACAGCTGAAGAAACTGAACTGTGGCTCATTTGAAGGCCAATGTAGACAAATTATTATCGAAGCTTTACCACCCTCTCCCCCCCCCCCCCCCGTGTCCTATGCTTACTTACATTGTCAGTAGACCCCCATACGCAAGCGAACGCATTTGCGTTAACCACCCCCCTCCCCCCTCCATGCGTCCGTACTAAATGGACGGCCCCTAATTACTACTGCCACGTGCACTCCGCACGTGGAAACCAACTCGCGTCTTCCCCCTTCCGGGATGAGGAGCCGCGCGTGGCGCTGCCATCAACGCCGTCCCCAGACCCACACCACGATGCGCGTGCGTGTTTATTTGTTTGTTTTACAATGAACCCTCTAAAAAAACAACAACGCCAAAGCGTGCCCCCGCGTTGTTTATAAAACAAACACGCGCTCGTAAGAGAGCAAATCCCACCAGAAATTAGACCGTCATTAAAAAGCAATTCTGGTTCCACTTGTCCAGACCGGGTCACTTGTTTGGCTCGCTCCGTGGCAGATGCCGAGTAAAAATCTTCCCTGCAACGGGGATTCTACCCCCCACCCCCCGTCTCTTGACCCGTGGTTGTAGTCACAGCGGGGTTACACATCACGCTGTATACGCGTGCCCGCTTTGTCAACGACATCGCTGGACGAGGGGGTAAGGCCCCCCCCCCACCCACCCACGCTGTTGTCGTTCATGAGAGGGGGTGGTGGGAGGAGGGGGAAGTTTGACCATACTTCACCACGCTGGTTGGCGAATAGCGGTATCTGGTTACTGTGTCCACAAATCACTCGCCGCTGATGTGTCGCTGGTTAGGATGGGGAGTTGAACTCAGGGCCATGGTTCACGTTTAAGTAGTGCATGTCGCAAATCCACTGCGCCGCTGATTGACAGTAGCACATTGCATGGTGTGTTAACTGTTGCATCAGTGCCATTATGCTAAACACTATCGCACTTACGATAACGTTAAGAAGCTGATCGATGTGTTATAAGCGCCAACACTTATACGCATGTTCCGCATTTGGTAAGTAACTTATCTCTCTTGATTCGGAACCCTCGCCATGTGCACCGCACATTCCGTGATTAAAAACTCACCACTTGATTTATAATACTGCCATCCAGCATATAATCAGCACTCATTATCTATCCACTGCTAGATGAAGGTATTCGTGATGTGTCGCCACCATGCTTCTTAGGTATATAAACAGGATGCCATTTTTGACAATGGGCCCTCCTTGAGTGACAGGCGAATGGTCCTTATGCACTGAAGAAGAGTGCTTGCCCGAAACATCACCGACAATAATTTGTGCAAGAAGGAAGTGCATCATAAGGCGTTTTTTCTTTCTTGGGCTATATCGCCTAAATATAAATGCGTCGTTAAACCCGCCACCACCCAACACAGCTAATTAGTAAGGGTTATGACGTAAACAAAACGTGACATTTAGTTACTACTTCAGCACAATCGGAGTGCTGGACAGTCAAACC